GAGAGAGAGAGAGAGTTAACATCATAAATGTTAGAATTAAGATGATAATTCATAATTGATAAGTATAAGAGCTAAATCTCTTAACAACTAACATGATAAATGGATTAATGTCCATAAATCAACCCAATCCAAAAATGTCATAGTTAAACTACTAGGCTTGTTAGCTTGTTACAATATTCACAAACGAAACTCCACAATATACGAAACGAAGAACAAATGGTCGCTTTCTAATTAAGTCAACCCACAAAAAAATTCAAGTTTTTGGTTTAGACTTATTTAAACAAATTAGATTTATCCCAAAAATCATTTTTCTTTTTGTCAAGTAGCCTAACAATGACTTACAAGCAATTACGGTGGTAGCACCGCTATAGTGCTCACATAAATCATGGTGAATCGCATTAAACGCGTCGCTATTAGCGTCATTGCTATACAAGACCACTCTTTGATACAACTATTATCAAGAAAAGTTGTCAATCAGCTTAAGAATTTTTACGGACAAATTATTGTCTATTTCTCACAACTCCTCACCGATCAACGCTTAAGCATCTAAATTTTATGCCTAGGTATAACTATTAAACATAGTTCACTTATACTAACGTTTTGAAGATACAAATCATAACATCCTTTGTTTTTAGTCAAATTTGAAAAATCATTTAAGGTTTTGGAAATCATATTTTCATAAAAATATTACAACGAAAAATCTCATACATTTTCAAACATTAAATAAATAAAAATGTTTCAAAACTAGAAAACCACAAAGGATGTCTCAAGCATACATCAAACATCACTAAAATAGCATTGGTACAAAGTCAAAAGGCCAAAAACATGGAATAAAAACGAGCACTTGTATATCTCCAATTGCTCATATAAATTTGCATCTCTATCCGCAAGTGTCTATAACTTCATTATACGAGACACATCAAAATAATACGCTACACTTAAAAAAATGTGGCGAGACACAGGTTTTTGACTCCATAAAAGTAATAATATATAAACACCATATGAAAAGACATCAATATAGAATCACATAAACATCTAACAGAAACTATTTGAGAAATGCTTAATCCCCGCCTAGCCGACTAATCCATTAACCTCATTCTACCGACAAGCTAATGCCGAACGATTTTTACAACCTTGGAATTAAATCATTAACTTCTACACCTAAATGAGAATTCAAGTACTTGGTGTTTTATGAATAAAAATGAAAGGAGTTTAAAGTAGATGTTACCCACCTCATAAAGACATGTTAGCTAAAAGGGAGCACATCCACAAGTTTTTTTTTAACATCAAACACATACACACACTACTACTCTTAAACTACTCGTTTTGTCTCCAATAAGACTTGAATTGAACCCTCACTTAAAAAACCCAATTAAACCCATTTTTAAAAGACCCAACTCCAGAGATTTTCTATCTGGATTAGTTCACAATTCTTTGGTGTCTAACAACAATTAGTAGTAGTAATAGTAATAGTAGTAGTACAGTGTCAATCATTGCAATTTACAAACCCAAATGTAGTTGCAGTCTCATCATAAATTGCTATGTCAACGGTTTAAAACCACAGACTCCATTAATAGTGTTTTAAATAGGAAGAAAAAATATATATATAAAAAAAAAAAAAAGTAGCAGCATTTTGTGGTCATCCTGGAACTACCCCTTACCTTAAAAGCAGAAAAAACTTCAACAAAAGGTCTTTCCAACATGTTCTTCACAGAAAACCACAACACACCACTCCTGCTGTCATCCATCTTCAATTCTGCAATCACAATTCACAAACAACCAGAGGACAATTATGTCAATTCACTATTTCACACATAGGCAACAAGTTCAAGAAAATAAATTGATACTTACCAGGTCACCAATACAGCAGAATTCAAGTCACCGAATTATAAAAATCTAGGTTTTCTATCAGCTGGCTTCAAGATTTGGAAAGAACACATTAAGCTCTCATCAACACTCATCATAGCACCAGCATTATCAAATTCACCACAATAATTTGGAGCAGAGAATATAGTAACAAGCTGTCTATCAGCAAAGAATTCATACCCATCTTCTACAACCTGCAAAAATGACAAACCAACATTCCAATTAGTCAATTACATACATACCCTCAAAACCATACATAAATGTAATGTGAATGTGAATAAAACCTGATGAGCACGACAAACAAGGTCCATATCATGCTGCATTAAGAACTCTGCAACTTTATCAGGACCAAAAGTATAAGAAACTCCCCTATCATTCATTCCCCAACCTTTAATGTCACGATTAGGATCTGACCAGAGTAAATCACAAAGCAAACCGGTGTCTGGAACATCAGTGGGGCGAGGTAAGTTTCTTATTTGATCTAAGTTTGTAAGATCAGGAGAAAGACCACCATGCATGCATAGTATTTTGTCATCTATAAGAGCAGCAACAGGAAGACAATTGAAACAATCAGTAAAAGTTTTCCAAAGTCTAACATTGAATCGGCGTTTACATTCGTCATAGAAGCCATAGATCCTGTTGATGGAAGCACATTCATGGTTTCCTCTTAAAAGGAAGAAGTTTTCAGGGAATTTGATTTTGTAGGCGAGTAAAAGGCATATGGTTTCAAGACTCTGCTTCCCACGATCCACATAGTCCCCTAGAAACAAGTAATTTGCATCTGGAGGAAACCCTCCATATTCAAACAGCCTTAACAGATCACCATATTGTCCATGAATGTCACCTGATTTCACAGAGATCAAACAGTTAAATATGGATTCTACACCATACAATCAGAATAAAAATCAGATAAGATCCTCACGACAAACAACAAATACGCAATGGAACAGGATAATGAAAAATCGCTACAAAACCAACAGTATTTGAAATTTGAATACATCAAGGAAATCAGATTATCGTTTTTCTTACCGCAAATCTTGATGGGAGCTTCGAGCTCTAGAAGATTAGGCTGTTGAAGAAAGATTTCTCGAGCAGCGGCACATAGTTGACGGATCTCCGCTTCCGAAAGCTGAACCTGCCGGACGGTTCTCGCTAGCCGGAACTCCAATAGCCGATTGATTATATCATCGAGTACGGCAGGGTCTATTCCCTGACCATTTTGAGCCATTGATCTCTAAATACTTCTATCTCCCTCGAAATTTCTCCGAAACCTGGGTTCTCAAAAACACCCAGAAACCCTAGATCGTAAAACAAAAGCAAACCACAAGAAACCGAAATTGCTTCGGCGATTTTCAACTACTTATTGTTAGTACATTGTTTTTGTTCCTCGGAATTTTTAATCATACACATGATGTATGCGCATGGACAAGTAGGGTTACAGAAAAATATTAACAAAAATTCAATTGCAGATAAAAATTTGGCGAGCTGACGGAGGAGGGAGGAGAAGAGGGGCTGCAACTCTGATTGGGCGGAGATGCCGAACTCGATGATCAAAATTCGTCGAGAACGATAAATCCGTAGTGCTTGTGTGGTTTCAAATTTCTGCTCTCATTTCCCAATCAAAACTTTTGTGCTGGTATTTTATCTTTCTGATTTTGTTAATCCAAAGACAAATTTGAAATCTAGGGTTTTGATATGCCCAAAAAATTGATGGTGGGCTATTTGTTTCCCACTTGTTTTTTTGGGATATTTACAAAATACTCCCCTCATGGTTTATGAATGTTAGATATACCACATCATGTTTTAAAAACATTATTATAGTCCTTATTTTGGTGCAATTTTTTTTTTTTGATTTTCTTATTTAAAAATAAACTCAAAAATACTTGTAGAATCTAGGAATCATAGACTTAATTTGTACCATTGAGATAAAAGACTTTTAAAAGTAGAGGGATATAATTTTTGTCACTCTTTACCGTAATTTGTTAGTTTACCATATATTGATTAAAATTATGATAGTCATACATAAAATATTGAATAGCTGGTTGATCGGTTTAAAAATAATTAGGGAATAGAAATTATGTAAAAATATATGTTAATTTCAAATGTTCATAACCTTCAATTTAAATGGAATTATGGAGTTTGAAATCAAACATTGGAACCTCTTGATGATTTTATATGTATAGACTGGGAACTATGTTGTTTCTAATGAATTTGAGTCTAGATTATATTGTCTAAGCAATTTATTTTACATTTGCAATGGTTTCAAAAGTTTGGGATATTTTTCATTTGTTTTATTTAGCAATGAAAACGTATGATTTCATAAGTGTTTCTTTTCTTAAGCATTTGTGCTATATTTCTTTCGGATTGAAAAAAAAAAAAAACAAGCGCATGCACCTGTTACATTAAACTTCAAGGTGAACACCCAATGGAAACTATATTTTTTTTTATAACTTAAACATATTTGTAGTGCATTGTTAAAATACCATTTGAATATGTTGCCTCATTGACAAATATGTGTGCGTTCATCCGAAAACAAATGCACCGCATGTCCTAAAATAGCGCAATGTTTTTTTTTTTAAATGTCGCTCTATTTGTTTAACTGAATATGATACATGACCATTTAAAATTGTTGCCTCATTGATGAATATGTACGCGTTCATCTGAAAACATATATACCGCATGTCTTAAAATACGTTACCAAAGCAAATCGAGGAATTGTCACCATATAGCACATGATTAGGTTTATCGTGTAAAAAGTTATAAAGCTCAATTAGCCAATGAAAATGTCTTAAGGAGTTGCATACCTAGGTTAGCCCCACCATCAAGCTCGAATTCCACTATGGGGAATGGTAGTTTCTTTTAAGATTGTTAATCAAACTGAACAAATCGTCCACATCGCACAAATCACACCACATAACACAATCTAAAACCTTGGTAATGTTGTTTATGGTTTGCAAATTTGTTAACCTACACGACGTAGTTTGTGGTTTAACAAATTTACAAACTAGAAACCGAACACTACACATGTAGTTTAATTTTTACTTGACAAATACGAGTTAAGAATGGTTAATTCCAAGGAAAAATAAACAAATAAAGGCAAATGAATGTTGTTTGATAGATGGACCATGTCACAATATTGTAAGGGATTCCTTGTTATAAACATATCCTATTTCTTGTAACTTTGATTAAGAGAGTTTAAAATTACCGTGAAAGATGACACAATCTACAACTTCAATGTTTTGCATTTTTGGAAATTCATTGTTTCCTCAGTCATCATAAGCGTTGAATTTGGAAACAGTTTATTGATGGTCGGAAATCTTAATTTAAGGAGGACATTTCGATTATTCCACATCGGAGGGTTAATTTTTCTATCTAGATAGGTTTGTGTTCTAAAGTTTGTATGGTTTCTAGTGTCCTAACCCATAAGTAAACCTAAACAATTAGAAATTTAAAGACAGAAAAAATAAAATAGTAATGGTTTGCATCTCACTAAACCGTACCGCAATACATAACACAATTTAAAACTTTTGTAGTGCTGTTTGTAGATCAAAAATTCTTAAACCATTTGTGTGACGTTGCAAGTATGAGGATAATACCAAACACACACAAAACATAGAAGTTAGAATTAAACATTCACAGCAAAATATGGGGGTTGTATGTCACAAGCTCACAAACTATGAGGGTTACATTGTAATATGTTATTTTCTTCTTTATTGTAATGTTGACGAGAGCAAGAGGCCCCAGCGTGCGTGGGGCGGTGTTGAAAGGATTTCATGCTTTATTACCTGGCACCCAATAGTCATATTCTACTTTAAAATTACAAAATGATCTCTAAACTATCAAGACAATCCACATTTGGTCCCTATTTCAATTTTCTCATTCAATTAACAGCCAAAATGAATATAATTTCAAAAGAACGGGGTCAAATGACAAATCACAGAAACGAGTCAACAATGGAATCCAAAATACTAAACCATATATCGAATTTTCACAAGAATTGTTCTCAAGTAAGATAGTATTCTACAAGGTCAAAAGAAGGTGTTTCTTGATTACAAAAAGAAAACAAAAAAAGAAATCTTTAGCTTTACCTCATCAAATATGTTTCAATTCAAGTTGAACAGCAACCTCTCTTTGTATTATTCCCAGATGAATCAGCGACATTAATGGTGGTTCCTTGACCAGGTAAAGGAGTAGGACCTGATGCTTCTTGAGCTGCTAATGCTTTCTTGCTAACGATATGATATATATCTGTCAAAACAGTTTGAAATGCTTTCTCAACATTATGTGCTTCAAGTGCTGATGTTTCAAGAAATGAAAGCCCTTCTTTTTCAGCGAGAGATTGGCCATCTTGTTCAGCCACTGCTCTGAGATGATTCAGATCAGACTTGTTTCCGGCCATCATGATCACAATGTTGGAGTCTGCGTGGTCTCTTAACTCACGCAACCATCTTTGAATGTTATCGAAGGTTTGGCTCTTGGTTATGTCGTACACCAGAAGAGCCCCAACTGCACCTCTGTAGTATGCGCTGGTTATCGCTCTGTACCTTTCTTGCCCTGCTGTGTCCCAAATTTGTGCCTTCACTGTCTTTCCATCAACCTGTTTTCATGTAATTTAGTCAAATCGGATCGTAGGCATTCTATCAAACACTTGGTACGCTAAATTTAATGGACTTTCGATTGGATTTTATCAAACAGGAGTAATTACTAATTAGACGATATATTAAGAGAAACTGTTAATCGGATCGTAGGTCTTTTAGGTTCAAAGAGAAATCAACAGGAAAAAGAAGGAAATTCAGACCTGAAGAGTTCTAGTAGCAAACTCAACTCCAATTGTTGATTTGGACTCCAAACAGAATTCGTTCCTCGTAAACCTCGACAGAATATTGGATTTTCCGACACCCGAGTCCCCTATCAACACGATCTTGAATAAATAATCGTACTCATTATCTACTCTATTAGCCATTAGTCTTTCCTCCTTCCCTCGCAAACCTATAACACAAGAAAATTTCGGAATTCGTTCAAATCGGTAGATATACATAGATCTAAGCAGATCGAAATCAGACCCACTACTTCTTTTCGATTGCAAACGAAACCCATCATTCCTTTTCTGATTGCGAACAAAATCCACAAATTTATATTCCAAAAACTAGCTCAATCACTAAAGAAAACATAGACAAACACGGATATCGTGTTGTATTGTATGTTAAAGACCTTACCGTAACTAAGAGATCGGGAAGAAAGTGAGGACCTCGCCTTGAAAATTTATAGGAGAAATGGATTAAAGTGAGCTTTGAAACAATTCAACAATGGAGAAAGAGGTTTGAACCAGCCAACGTGATTATATACAGCTTACAAGGGCAGAGAGATAATTACAGAGTTGGTTAAAAAAACAAACAAACTTACCGTTCCCTTCTCTCACTAGTCACTAGTAACATTGGCATATTTATATTTTTTTTATATATTTAGCCATTCAGGTACTGAATATATATTTATTATTCAAACAAATTAAGAAAAACTGTAATAAAATCTCTACATATTGGTCTCATAATCGATTTAGTCCTTATATATATATATATTTCAATTAAGTCTCAAATACCGGTAATTGTATTCAATTTAACCCTTTGACCCGGTCAACATGTCATCCAACTTTCAAAAATTACATTTTTGGCCCAGATTTCAAAATTTATTACAAATTTGGTCCAAAATTTTTTGGCCCAGATTTTAAATTTTGTTACAAATTTGGTTCAAAGTTTACCCTTTTTGCCCAAATTTTAGAATTTTATTATGAATTCATCCTAACTTTAGTTTTTTTTACAACT